GTACTTAGTTTATAATTAACAACAATTTCTTTGTTTATTCCATTTTCAAACAATAATGTATAAATGAGGAGATAATTTAACACAACCTATAGTAACTAATAACCCTATAACAGATAATCCATTATGTAATTAAATTAAATTCATTAACAGAAATTAATCTATGCGAGTTCTCTGCGCACCCCTTTATTGTCAACCTGAAATAAAATAAAAACATATGATTATCGACTTCAAAAAGTTTCACGATTCTGAACTAGGTGGCGCTATTTTCGATTTTTTTACTTATTAGCACTTTAATATTTTTTTAATTCATTGACATAACTCAAGAACTAACTGTTGCGTACTTCGTCCGCCCAGAATTAAAAAATCTAGTAATAAACATAATTTAATGTAGCTTCCAACGGTGGACGAATTTTATAGTTTTTTTATATAAGCATTGGTCTACTAGTTTTCGAATTTATTAATTACATAATACATAATTTCTATAGATATAGACATCAATACTTACATGTTCCAGGTATTTTCATTGACCACAATATTGTGTGACTGCATTTAACTGTAACATGTTCAGATCCATCAAAAGCATTTGAAGTACTCACCAATTCACCAAACTTTAGTCTTGTATTATCTGAAAATATTTACTTCAATAAATAAAATATTGTCACAAAAAAGAATTTTAAATTAATTGTTGTTGTAAATAGACTTAATTAGATTTTTCATCTATAGACCGAACACCCCAACAGGAAAGACCAGATATATTTGTTACCACCCTAAACAACTCGAAATATATATAAACATTTAATATTGCAAATAATTATTGTATGAGAAAACTTACAAAAACAATACTTTATTTATTTTAATTATTAAATGGGTAGATTGAGGTGAATGTCTTCTCATATCAAAAAAGAAACATTACTAATGAGTTCTTATCAAAAGTTGTTAATTAATTATAACTTAAATCTGATGTCAATTAAGTTATTATTAATTAACATAATAAGGGATAAATTTAAAATCCAAGGGTCATTAAAATCCGTAAGCAGTACAAAAATTATAAGATAGGTTCCACAAGTAAAACTGTTAACATCACTAGTAAAAAAAAATGTTAGAACATACTCAAGTTCCATTTGAGTCCACTAGTTGTAACAGTATCACATATTTCTCCCATAGGTACTAAAGAGCACCATGATCTCTTATGTTTCCGAGTCTCTTCTGGTATGAATATAATATGTTCCCCTGGGAACAACAACCAGGATACCGCGTCATCAGACATTAAGTAAACTTTAGTCGACGGTACCAATTGTTTCAGCTTAGCAAGATACAATGTCTGTACATTCCCTAATATTTGGTCAATCCTGCCCGAAGCCTGGGCAATCGCTACTGCATGATTTACCTGAAAGGCAATTTAATATAACACACAACATATATTTTCAAGCAAAAGCATAATTAAGGGTCCATTCAGACAGGTGTAGAGCTCAACAGATTATAATCGCAAATAAAATTGTGCTTTATCCCATTGAAATAAGGTTTACTTTCACTTTTCACATTTAAAAAATAAGAGTAAAAAGTAAAATTAAACCTCATTTAAATCCTATAAAGTTCAATTTTATTTGCAATATAAATATGCTCTACTCTACACCCTGGATTGTGTACAACTCCTAAGGATATTGATAATAAAAAAACATAGTTTAACATTTTAAACGCCACTCTGACCAAAATGAAAATGCAAAAGAATCCTTTAAAATGCATTCTTACCTCAGTTTTATGTTCTGTGCAGTATTTATTTAATTCCATGAGAGCTTTCGTAAAATCTGTATGATCTTGATCTGGTGTGTGTATTATCTAAAAATTAAGAATAAAAATTAACTTATGTACAGTCAATGTTTTTGCAAAAAGTCTTTTAAAATTTCATTGATAACATATTTTTATGTCCTCTGTTTTTGTTATTTAAACTAAGGTCATCTTGTATGTAAAAAGTAAAGAATATTTTATACAGTGTGATGTTTGTTTAAAGATATTAGACTGTGAAACCTGTACAGGTTTTCTGCATAATCTTTTCTCTTTATTATTTATATAATACTAATCTAATAAAGAGAAAAGACTTGTAATTTCATATATTTTTTTGTAACAAATAAAATCAAAAACTATGGGATTGATTTCAAAAATCCTTACAATATTAGAGAAGTACTTTATCACTGAGTAACACAGGCTATAAATACTATTTAAAAAATTATGTATATTAATATTTACATCAACATTAATGATTTTTGCATTTCTCCTTCAACAAATCTAAAGATTATTTGAATTAAAGCCAGTCTATGCCCAAAAGAATTTAAAAATAACATTTATTGGTTTTGGTGTTTGGCAAAACTGACATTAGATTAGATTGCCTTTAGCATTGAAACATTGTGTTCTTTTTAAATAAAAGTAAATATATTATAAATAATAATGGCTAAATTTCACCTTACAACCTTTCTTTTTATATTTCTGTAACACTTCCTCTGTTATTGAATCAAAGTCGCCAGTAACAAGGTCTGGTAACTGAATAGATTGTTGTTCTTCTTCAGGTAGTAGTTTTAAAAATTTATCCCACTGGCAAGTCCCACCATCAACAGTTATTCTTACACTAGCTGAAAAAGTAACAGAAAAATAATGATACTTCATGAAAATTAAAAAATCAAAATATGTTATTACTAGCTTTTGCCTTTGACTCCATCTGCATGGTATTTAAAAAAAAAAGTGAGTACATGTTTTCCGGACTATGTTCTACATCTATGCCAAATTTCATCAAGATCCATCCAGCAGTTTAGGCTACAAACTCTAACAAACATCCATCCATCTAAACTTTCGCATTAATAATATTACTAAGATTTCTCATGTTTTCTGTATAAAAGACACAAATAAAACTAACTAATTTATGGTGAAGAACATTGTTGTAGCAAAAATATCCTAATAAAAAGATGTTACATCATTTAAATTAAACCATGGAATTTAATTTAAATAAAAATTCTTAATTGACCGAATTTCTAAAAGGAGGTTCTTAATTTGTATGTACTTTTTATTCATTTATACAGTAACATTTACAACAATAACATATTAGGAAATGAGAGCACTTACCATTATTCCAGAATTTTTTAATGAAATTAGGTTTTTGTAAAATAGGACGATTCAACACTAGTACACCATATTTAACTAAATTCTTGCCGTTGCAGCCCATGACTTGTGTTATATCCCATTGAGTTTTTATACATTTATTAGGGCATTCACAAGAACTGCGCTGTGTAATAAAAATATTACTTAACTTTCTCACCTAAAAATCATGATTACAAATGTTCTAAAATGATTTGAAAATGATAAATACATACATATAATAGAACGAAACAAGCTAATTTCGTCTAACTACTGTTTTAAATGGGAATATGATAGATTTCTAATTATAGGTTAAAAATGTGGAAAATGTGTACTTGTAATTATTTAATTCATTTGCAAGTTTGCACAAGTTTAAAAATATTTCACGCACCTTACATAAAATGCCGTTTGTTGACATGTTGAAAAATGAATTAAAGCAAGGTAAATTCTATGTCTGCAATAAAAATTTTTGACTAATCCAACTTATTGAAACTTTGCTAATAAACTCATACAAGTTACTGAATAAGTATTGATAAGGCAGACTGAGAAACAGGCCGTTAAAAAAATGGAATTATCAACTTGTCAATGTCACAACAATGTCAATAAAATGTCATCTTAGTCAGGAAATGCCAATGTCAAGGTGTAGATAAAAAAAAAAATTACTTTTTTTATCAAAACAAATCAGCGGTTGACCGCGATTCCTTAACTAAATTTTAAAACAGGAAAAATAATGTAAACAAAAATACATGGAAGAAAAAATGCTTAAAACAAACGTATAGGTTTTTGTCTCTTCAACAGTTTTTTTTGTTATTTTTTCTTACTAAAGTTTTGCTACAGACAATAAAATACCTACGATTCTATAGACTGTTGTTGTTAGGCTGTCAGTGTCAAAAATTAAAAAAAAAAAACAAGAAATATCTGAGAAAGTGAATCCCCTTCTCCGATTATTTTGTTTTTGTTAATTCTATAGGAAGATAAATATATTAAGAAAATGAATAGAATATTTGGAAGAGGAAAACCTAAAGAACCCGGTCCTAGTATAGCAGACTGTATCAGTAATGTAAGTATATAGTGATAAAATTGCGTTTTTGTTTGAGAATGAATCATCATATCGTATATGTAAGCAAAATAATGTTTCATTTCTTCAGGTGGATAGTCGAGCTGATAATATTGAGCAGAAGGTTCAAAAATTGGAAACCGAGTTAAGGAAATACAAAGATCAAATGGCGAAGATGCGAGAAGGCCCTGCGAAAAATAACGTAAAGCAGAAGGCTATGAGAGTTTTGAAACAGAAAAAAATGTTAGTTAATTTAAGTAACATAATTTGTATACTGATGAAATTGATATCCTCTCTACAACAGATATAATCTTACTTCTTACTAATATTATAAATGCGAAAGTTTAGATGGATGGATGGATGGATGGATGTTTGTTAGAGTTTGTAGCCTAATCGGCTTAACGGATCTCCATGAAATTCGGCATAGATGTAGAGCATAGTCTGGAAGAACACATAGGCTAATTTTTATCCCGGAAATAGTTACGGTACCAGAGGGATGCATTGAGTTTGTTTTTTAATGTTTACTCGATAATTCTGCAACGGTTAAACATATCATATTGAAATTTGGTACAGATATAAAACAAAGTCTGGGGCACACATGGGATAAGGTTCATCCCCGAGAAATGTCCGGTTACCGAGGGATACATAACTTTTTATAATTTATACAGTTTGTATGTTTTCTAATACCACGACGAAGTCGCGGGCAACAGCTCGTTAGACCATAAATTTAACCTTGCTTGATTTTATTGTTATGTCTCATATTTGTTTTTTATTAAACTTATAAGTGTCAATAAGTTAACAGTTAGTCCTAAACTTACAGGTATGAACAGCAACTGGAGAACCTCAGGAACCAGTCATTTAACATGGAACAAGCGAATTATGCCACACAAACTCTAAAGGACACACACACTACCATAGCGGCTATGAAAGATGGTGTCAACCAGATGAAGAAGGAATTCAAAAAGATAAATATTGACACTATTGAGGTTTGTATGATTTCTACAATCTTATTTTACATGTGTTGTATTTCCTGAGGTATAAATTGTTATACGTATATTCTAGGATGTGAACGATGAGTTGGCAGACATGTTGGAGCAAGCTGATGAAGTGCAAGATGCATTAGGACGTCAGTACGGAGTGCCAGAGATTGATGACGATGAATTAGCCGCAGAGCTGGACGCACTTGGTATTTACCTTTCTTTCTTAAATATCTTGTACCCAAATTCACATGGCAACCTTTTGTGCATGTCCATACTTAAAAGTGAAATAATAATATTTGCCGTGAATAGCACTCAATAATAATATTAAAATAAATGTTTTGCGCATCTATTCATTAATTCACATCTTATTAGTCAATAGTAAATTTCAACTTCTTTAAAGCCCTTGCCCAAGCTATACTTTGGCAATGTTTCTATTTCCTGAATAGCACCATGAAGTTGATAATTCTTTATATTTACAATTACACCAACTAGCATTTGCCTGGGTCTCTGCACCTAAGTATTCTTCAAGACAATGTTCTGCTTCTATACCAAATTTCAGTAAGATTTGTTGTGCCATTCTGGATGTACATAAGATCAAACATCCATCCATCTAAACTTTCACATTATAAAATTACTAAGATTACTATTTGAGTTATTTCATCTAGAACTAAATCTACTGTCTCTTTGAATCACACTAAGGCAATTAAGATTGTGGCGTGAAATTTCTACTTCCAGGTGATGAAATCGCATTGGATGATGATTCGTCCTATTTGGATGATGTAGTCAAAGCTCCCGCAGCTCCGGACAGGGAGCCAGGAGCAGACAGCATCCGCAACAAAGACGGAGTGCCTGTTGATGAGTTTGGTCTGCCTCAAGTACCAAGTGCAGCGCAAACGTCACGCTGATAGTTTGTTAAGTAAGTTTTACCTTTATCTTGATACAGGCGTTTATAATTATGTATAGGGCTGTCAACATTGAAACATAGGAATTTTGATAGATGAGCCCACGTTACGCGCGATAGCCCTTGTTAATCAAAGAGATTCAAAAAATATATAGAGAAGACAGTTGACATTTCACTAGAGACATTTTTCACATATTGTCTATTGATACATCCTTAAAGCCACATGTCAATATAATTAATTGTATTTTAATGAATTGCTAATAGATGTCACTAAATTATATCTAAATGTTTACATTTTATTTTCTGACACTGTATAGTTTATTTTCAAATAAAAGTTGGAGCCTATTATAATTTTGTAAAATGTTTTAAACATGTTCATAAGGACATGAGGTGGCACTAAACATGACAACTAACATAGTACCTTAGAAAGAAGTTACCGGTGAAAAAATGTCTAGTTTATATATTTCTTAAATGTATTTGTTATTTATCAAAAGAGCATTTATAACTTTTAACCTGTATCAATTTGAAGTGAAGCTTACTTTGTTTAGAGCTTAAAGCTATATAAGAGATTCTATGTAAGCTGTGGAAATACATTTAACAATCTTGATGGGATTAGATTTTATGTTTAAAACCAAATGCTTTAAAAATCTTGTTTAAAATCTTAGTATACATACTTATATTTCAAGCTTATTACTAGTATGTATTTGTAAATCAATTAAGTTTATTAATATTTAGTTATAAAATTTTTTTCATTGACTTAAGAATTTTTATTTTTTAAAAAAATAGAAAAAGTCGTTATCATTATTAATTTTTTATGTTATCATTAATACATGTATATTTAAAATAAACTTTTTTTTAAAATACCTTTTTTAATTATGACAACTTATTAATGGTTATGCAAGAAAATAAAACAATAAATTTAATAAGGTGAAATAACCTTTAATAACAATAATTTAAGGGCATTAACACAGTCAACTTTCAAATACTGCAGTTCAATCTTATCAAAATAAGATATAAATGTTGAACCGCAGTATACCATTGTAACCGCGTCGCCCGATCCTGACGAGCCTCACTCAGCCTATAATAAATAAATTTGAACAATAAATAACATTACTTAGTCCTCAATATTTACATCCTGTAGGATCACATGATCGTAACACTTAGATGAAAGTCTATTTGCACTATCTAATGTTCAGACACTTTCTAGTCTAATCCAGCGCTTCTTGACCTGTCTTTGGCAAGAAGAAGCAGAGTATGGCAGCAACTGGAAAAGGAAATTGAAAATTTAATTATCTGCATTTTGAAGTGAACTTTGAACTAATAAATGGCCTGTGTTCTTGCAGACTGTCCTGTCCAAATTTATTTGATATTCGTTGAGCTGTTTTGGACATACTTAGTAACAAACATCCATCCAAACCTTAATATTACAATAGTAGTATGAAATATGATTTATGTAACGACTTTTGACTGTCCATAGTAAAGTACAAAAATCTATTCATCCATTAGCTTACTTTAAAAACTAAATATAATTCGACTATTAATTTTGTAACCAAAATGACATAAGATGGCCCATTACTTGACTAGTGAAATATTTTTTTTCAATAATTTAGATAACGTTTCTCGATATACTTACTAAGTAGGAATGCTGAGAAGACAACAATGGGCACTATGCAGTTGATGTCGATGAGGTACCCAAAGGACAGGTTGCCGATTAGACCGCCGCCTCTGCCCGCAGTCAGCGACAGCGCGGCCGCCATTACCCTGATAACATTACATTAGCTATTTAAAGAAAATATCAATGCTACTATGATTTTTACGTAGAAAAATAAACTCGCGGACTTCGTAATATTTTAGAAATATAAATATCTCATTGGTAAGAGTCAATTATCGGTCATAATGTGAAAAATTATACAGATATTCTGAACGAAAACGATGTCTACACACAGCAAATCAATGTATCAAAAATTCCTCGACATCAAAGAGAGCTTTCTGGATAAACCAGGACTTGAGTTTATTTTTAAATTACGCGAGGCTGATAGCCGCTGTGAGGTCTTGAGGTGGTTGTAGACGGTGGGGCCTATAACGTGAATAGACTTCTAATAAAGGTAAAAAGGTCGATTGCTTTACCTAAGGTTCGTAGGGAACAGGTCGACGAGCACACAGAACACAAGACTGATGGCAAGCGAGGTGAGCGCTTCAAAGATGCACGACAGCACCAGGTTCTGTGTGGAGTTCTGCACGAAGTACAGACCGAAGGTCACCAGCGCCGCCACGCCCAAACTGAAAACTGCAAAAGTATATGGTTATTAGCTTAGTCTAACAATCTAAACGAGTTTTAGCAAAGCTTGAAAGCTTAAGTTATACCTTTTATGGCCGTTTTTGTTTTACTTTGACCCAAATTAGGTAATAATGTTAACATCGTGATTAATCTTTTTCTACATACATTTTAAATAGCGTGCTGTAATTCTATTCTTAGTTAATTAGTACGTTACATGTGTATGTATAGAATATTTGTTAAAATAGTAATCTGAGATGAAAATCACATTTAGATATCCAATCAAAAGTCATACAAATGTATAATCTATGTTAAGTCGCCTACTTACTAAGGAAGAACTTGGCTCCAAGTTTGTGGACGCAGAGTGGCAGCCAGAGTGAGGTAGGGATGCAGGCGAGACCGACAATGAGCGTGTGCATGTACACACTCTGGTCGATGATCTTCTCGCAATCGAAGGGGTCTGCGGCGGCCTCGTCTACTACGATTCCGGACACGTCGCAAACGGACGCCGATGTGTTCGGGAACCGGTGCTCGAACTCCTCGTAGCGGTTAAACAGCTCGGGGAACCAGATCATCAGGGTGTAGTAGCTGAAATTGTAGATAGATAAGTCGTATGTTTGTGTCATAACTGTTCAGATAAAAACGATTGATTTATTTATTTGCAATGGACAAATTTAGATACGAAATCTTGTTTCTTCATTGGAAAAAGATGTCCAAAAGTGTTGAAAAAGCTATAGTAGATATTTACACTGAAGCTTAATGTTTTGTTTAATTAAAAGTGACAAAAAGGACAGAAAAACCGTTTTTTTAGGTCTAGCTGTATTTGTAATAGAATTTATCACTACATTAGTAGATATAAAAAATAGTTCTTACCTCGTAGTTAAGCCAAACTGAATGAGGCAAGTGAGGATCGTGTACTTGAGGTAGGGAGGTCGACATAAAGCTTTGGTCTGTACCCAGATCTCACCGAACAACCGTTTCAGGTCTTTCGGTTTGCGCATGCTGAGAGATCGCACTGATTTCTGAGAGTTCTGCGACGCCACTGAAATTGTTCGCACTTTCTCCTTAAGACTCTTGATCTGTAAATAAAGTTACAATGAGCGTAGAATACAAATCAAATCGTACCAAATTTGGTACCGATTTCTTGATCAATGTAGTCTTAAATAATACAAAAACAATTACTTCAATTTGCCTTATGGCGACTGTAAAGTCGGATAAACAGTCGATTAAGTAAGCAATTTAGTAGCATATTACCGGATAGTTATCAGGATCGTCTCCGGTGTTCTGTCTGTAGATACTCTTAAGGCAGGCGAGCGCGTCATCGTAGTCTCCGCACTCCATCATGAACTTAGGACTCTCGGGGAAGGTGAGCAACCAAAAGCCTAGCAGCAGGGACGGCACCGCGCACGCCGCCACAAACCAATTCCATGAGTCATACGAGAAGCTGCCGCTCTCAATACGAATACCTTGGATCGGGATGATGGCCCATGCGAACACTACAAAAATTACAATATGAAGTTTAAATCCTTGTACTTCATCATAAGAATGCGGTTTTTTTCATTACTGATAGGCACAATATTGAAGATAGGCACAATAGTAATTAGGCGAACCGGCGTAAGGATTATTTTCACAAAGAACTAATGGCACGCACCAGGTCTTGTCTACTAGTTAAGGATCTCTTTGGTACTATAGAGGATAGATATTGCAAAACAAACATGAATATTTCTAATTGAACATGTAATAATAGACACAACTCAAATGTTTTAGAGTTACAAGCTTCTCTTAGCTCTCAGTTGAATAAAAAGAATCAGATATCAGTTTTATTTAACTTTGTAAACAAACATTTCACAGTCAATCATTTTAAAGAAGATAAATCTTGCGCTGAGATAATTCACGATAATAGTCGAATAGTGTATTTGAATGGTCTTTTGTTTTGCAGACCTTACCGTAAGTTATTGACGCTTGAAATTGCATGTTTACATTCTAAAGATAAGAGTTTATAGGTTGGATTCTTACATGGAAGTAGAATGACACCCAAAGTCCAGAACATTTCCATCCAGCAGAGAATCTTCTCTCTGTATTTGGTCTGTTGGAACTCTCCTAAGTACGGGAAGCAGATACCCATAGCGCCGGCAATGCTGTAAACGAAAGATGGCAGAATATAATAGAATGTAGAGATTTCAGATTCATTCCTATAAATAAAAGGTCTAGAATTCTATGTTGTTAAAGCTTTTGTTGGTCTGTCTATGCCAGTTATTCAAAAATCACTTTCTATAAACATTTTACGAACCATCTCGTGTAAAGTTTAGTATTTTTGGGCTGATTTATATTTTAAGTATATTATCTATTTTTTGTTTTATTTATTTAAATGTCTAATTTTATCTGAATAGTTCAAGGCATGCTTAAAAATAATAAATAAATCAACGTCGGCATTTAATCATACGAGGATAATGCAATGCAATACATTAACAGAGAAACAATACATTTTTTCATAGCGCGATTGTTTGTCACAGTGTAAAAAGATATTTTTACCTTTTAGATACAGTTGTCACACGTTGACAGCTTTAAGTAGCATGTTAGACGTTATCTGTGTGTAATGTCATGTGTTGACATCACTAGATACCGGTGACATTGCCCGCCAAAATTATGTTGTATTAAAAAATAAAGATTTTAAAAATGTTTAAAATCTTTTTTGTTTCTCTTATATAACAACTTTATATATGTACATTACTTTCTGATATCTAGTAACCATAAAATCTTATGTTGTATGACAAATTTAATTTTGTTTTTTTTTTTTATCGACATTAAAATCTTCAAGCCATTTGCAGTGTTTATCATTCAGGTAGCAAGTCAAAACTATTATCTTAATGACCCAATAATGTGATATGTGCAGATAGCTTGAATTAATTGTTCGGGTCTGCCGAAGCATTGGCAAAGAACATTTTGTCATGTCCCTTACACTATGACTTTCTTTTTATATTTGCATTTACAATTAGCTTATACTTACGAGAAACCATTGATAAATCTGCACGCCATGAAAACAGGTAAAATCTGGACGAAAGACGAGAGGATGCCGACGAAACCGTCAATCAGGAGGGTTGATACCAGCACCAATTTACGGCCCTTAGTGTCAGCCAAGCAACCCCAGAAGTATGACCCGATCACCATACCTAAAAAACAAATAAATACACATTAAAGAACTCCTTGTCCAATTAACACAAGTTAGTTAGAGCTTTATTTCTTTGAATTCATTTGTTTTTATGTAACTTTTTTATAGTTAAATAACTATTCTTAATAATATAGAAGTCGGTAATCTATTAACAATGCAGCTGTGGAGATGTAATCCTTTCCGGAAGTTCCATAATCGTTTTAATTGTGGTCTTTGAGTCATTATAACATAACATTTACAAGGTTATTAGCAAGATAAAATGTTGAACAATATTTGATCGTTTTATTAATTAACGTAGATTGAATAGCTGTCACTTCGTAGCTTGGACATATGAAACAAGTAAACTAGTTACTGTTTTAAATTCTTTTTTGATGTTAGTTTATCAATTTTTATTTTTCCTTTGTAAAATTATTAATTTACGTTAAAACTACATCCATTAAAACATTACCTAGGTTTAGGATTAATTTGATATATGATTAAAAATAGATTACGCTCAAAAAATCTTAAGGGAAACATTTCAACCATAAAATCATCAACTCGGTGTTCTAGCCGCTCGTTTGTCCCCTTTTGTTGTAAAAATCAAGAGGTAAGTGTTGCTACTTGCTAGTGTTCACTATACATAAAGTACTTATATCATTACTAGTTATTTTGCGTATTAATTGCAGTTAACTGACGAATATGTAGAACAATCTGGAGGATCAAAACTTGGTACATTCACCCTACAGAGCATAGTGAGACTTTTACCTAACATAGGTGCTGCGGTCAGCCATCCCTTGTCCGATGACGTCATTCGGAAGTCGCATGTCGCCGCCGGCAGCACGAAAGATATTATAGTAATTCCAATAGCCGTGTTAGCGTAGATAAGACCAGTGATCGCCAACAGACAGAAGTGGAAACGGCCAAACCCTGGTAACAATTACATGGTAACATTAGCAATAATATGATCGAGTTTAAATTCAAACAACTAAAGTCCCTTTATTGTTCTCAAACCGTGGGCTTCGACTGCCTTATCCCATGTACAAAAAGATACTCCCTCTTTAAAATAAATGATATTTTTGCACTGGTTCTCGACAGTAGAAACCCACGTTAACATAGTTGTTGACATTCAATTGTTTTATAGAAATCTAATAACACTTGTATCTAATAACTACTCACCAGTGGCTGAGATCGCAGCTTCGAAATCTGCTCCATGTTCCAAGAAATCTAAACCTGTAATCGATATTTAATTAATTTAACATCTATAAGCATAAGTTAATTGATTCATTAATGATTTTGATGTATCTACTAACTATTTCCTAATTAAAATTCCGTCAAAAACAAATAATTTTATGTTCCAATCACACAGCTAACACCGATTTATTTTTCCTCTTAAATTAAATTAAAAGTGTATTTTTATGGGTAAAAATAGTAAATTTTGATTATAATTCATAACAAACACGGTAATAAGACAATATTAAGATACTTTAATTAATTTTCTTAGAAATGTTTACAAGATACGCACTTCGATCTTTCATCCGCCCATCTTTTTAACAAATTCACAACACAATTTGTCTTATTTAAATTTTTGTTTACTTATTTTAAAAACTAAACTCTCTGTTATATTAGAATTTATGTGGGCGCCATAATAATTACTTAGTAATTCTCACTGAAGGACTAACTACCCTCATCTTTGTAATTTTATAAATAGATACTAGAAAAATAATAAATACCGTAATTTAATAATTGATAATGAAAGATTGTTCATAATATGAAATAGTTTTAATAATAATTTAGTTAAGATTTAAGTGAAACATTTTACGAACAAAATCGTAATAATTTTTGATATTGTTTTTGTTTATTTATTTACATTAGTTCGTTTTTGTTTTCGTTGAATTTAAAAATCGAAGTGAGATGCCGCAAAAGTTTCACAAAGATTTCAACGTAAGTATTCATTTCTCGTTAATTTTTATAATTTCACTCCTGTCACTTTTTTAACCTTAATTTTGCACCGGTGCAGTTTTTAGTTCATCACAATGACGCTTCATTTTCCATTTCGCGTATTGGGTTTACCAATTTCGAATCTTTGTCAGTACCGCCTCGAGTGTTTTGATAATAAAATTGTCAAGTTTTGAAAGTAAATACTTGTCTTAGAACTAAGAACTGATAACGTCAATTTACATTGTCCAGAATATGAAGTGGCGAGCTTCGTAACAGAAGTAAGCCGTCTAATACGACTCCTGATAAATAAACGGAATCAAATAATCTCTAATTGTATCTTTAACACATGATTCTGAAGTATGCTAGGATTTGTGGCTTATGCATTATACATGCATCTGAAAACAATTGCAAGAGTATGGATTACTGGAGAAAAGGGGTCACGGTGTAAGGCAAAATGGAAGAATCATTTTCATGGGTATCGCTAGGGGGACATAGGAATGAGAAGCTGGTCCCCTCTTCATTGAGAACGTTTAGGTATAACAGATTTAAAAACTTAGAATTGAACTCCCCTAGGAATTCTATGCTAGGCTGCTAGCCAAATATCTACGCGGAAGTCTAGAGCTAGTCTAGATCTTCATCTGGAGACGCTCATAGTTATAATAATTCCCCTGTCCATTTAGTGCATTGATTTTATTAAAGTCTATCTTAAAATCGCCAACAAACATGAAGCGGTGATATTTAGTGCATAAATGCCTAAAATCTTACATATTATATTTCTATTTAGAATTTGATCTCTTTAAAAGTTTCAAGGTCTCCCAAATTATGGTTATCGCGACTATGATTTATAATTAACGGTACGAAGTTTGTAAACTGATGTATTTATCATCTTATCTGAGAAAGACAATAGTGGTGGCGTTATTTACTGGAACGCTCTGACTAATCAATTCTGATGAAGGGTTTTACCGCCATAAATAATGTCAACTTATCTACTGCATTTGTAGATCTAGTAGAGTTTTACACTTGTTTCACTAGATTATAGGTTAGGAAACTTAAGAAAAATTAGTGGAAAGTTCAAATTATTTTTATTATTGTACAATCGAGGATTTCGTATTGCGTACGGCGCTAAAATATTATGAGGAAGAAACATTTTATTCCATAAAAAAGAATAGATATTTCCTCTGCCAAAACATCCATACAAGAAATGACTTTTGTCATGTTACAGCTGCAAAACTGTTTCGTCAAAACACAGGGTTAGTAAGCATTGTCATCAATATAGTAAGAACTACGAGGATAAGATCCAAAAGGTGTCTATTGCTCTATTCAGAATATCAAATATGGATAGGGTTAAGAGGCACATTGAGTTTGTTAATGACTGTAAAATGTATTGTGTCCGATTTTGGCAAACAGACGACCGTTAAGGGTCACTTTATGCGATACGCAAACGATTGTTACGAAATATTGACTTGATATTTTAATATCGAATTATATACGCGTACGATATCGATGCGTATTTTGTTGTGTAATTGATTTATTTAAGGAAAATGGCGACAGAGTTGCTCGGTCCTTGATTTTGAATATATCTCTTATGAGCCATCTCAAAGTAACAGAATTTTATATGTGTAATGTATTAAAAAATGTATTTTTATCCAGCTAGATATAACTTTAATAAACATTTGATCTGAACTTCTGCGTGAATGTTAAGTGATTTTTTTATGCTAATGCGACTTTGTCTGCTTACGAAGGTTGCGCCCGTATACGATTTACTAGCGTAACTATAAATGTGTAAAACCTAATAATATTTCTCAAAAAAAAGTAATTTCGTAGCGCACGCGTTTGCCCCCGGCCCTTGGGCTGTGTCCTTTTATGGCGGTCGTTTGCGAATTGTTTAGGTTACATATTAATCATTTCATTTTCCTTAACTTACGATGTCTGGCTGTTACGAATACTCACTAAATCATTTATTATTGAAATAATAAGCGAAGAAACTTTTTATTCACTTTTAAAATCAAGAATTAATTCATCTATCGTAACCGGACAATTTAAGAGAAACGAATATAAGTAAGAGTTCACAAAACTTGGGAAATAAGTCGAAATTAGAAAGCGATTTTTATCTTATATTGACGCTAATTGTTGATCTAATTTGCCGATCATATTTGTATTAATATTTTAGATTTCTTACGACGCATCATTAAAATTTTTGAGTATTTACCTACGATTCAAAGATAGAAAAGGACATGTACTTTTGATATAATTCATTTACTTGGCGCCTATATCTATAAGTATTTTATGTAAACTCAATCATTGTTCTTGAAATAATTATTAAAATAAGTGGCGGCAAAATCTTTGTAATACAATCGCAATGTAAGTATCTTGAAGAGTGTTTACATTTCCTATTTATATCGAGAATTCACTTCAAACTTCATATATTTTAATTAAAGAATTAGGACCAAAGGGTAAAACGAATTACCCTTGGAACTAAAACTTAAACGCTATCTTGACAATTAATAGCTAGTTAAATAAACGGCAATTGCGACCTCTAGTGAAAGATTACCTAAGAAAAATTCAGTTTCATTGTCGCTAGAAATTGTAAAAATATTGCGTTTGCGACTACCATTTCATTACATACGATAGAAAACTTAGGGTAGGTTCCAAGCCCCTCAACAGTGACGTATAGATGATGGAAAATTTTAAAACAAATCATCTTTCTCATGTGGGAGCTTTGTACAAGTATTTCGTATCAACAAATCCACAGAATTAATTAAGACGTATTTATTTAGTACACATGGACACAGTTTTTAATTGATACGATGACGGTTCGTTGCGGCTTATCATTTGAAGCCGCCGACACACTGGTTTCTATAAAGGGCTAATTAACTTCAATATCCTTATACTAGGCCTTCTCTGTGCTCTCGATTGTCATGGGAAATATTTTATAATATTTCCGGCTTTGTTAAAGCAGTTATCAACATCATCTGAGAAAATTTTTCTTGTTTAGATTGGAATAAAATATGCGTATTATCATCATCAGAGGCACTGTAGCCGCGGGTGTGCCTGGACCTGGTCCAGAAAATTCCTCCATATCTGTCTATCTTTGGCTTTTGTAAATAATCAATGGCGAACCCGATATAATCACGAAGTTTACCAAATCTTTAATGAGCCAAATGTCATCAAGGCCATCAAAATTTATCGGCTACGCTGGGCAGGACATGAAGCGAGGATGAATGACTGCAGAGTGCCCAAGCGCCTATTAGAGAGTCAACTAGAGGGACGTAGATCACGCGGGAGGCCGAAAGTAAGATGGCTAGATGATGTCAAACGAGATCTTAAAAATGTCGGCATTAAGCTGGAAACAAAAAGCCCAAAATATGCGTATAATCAGATGAAACATAGATACTGTCTAGTATATTAAGAGGGCTGTATCGATACTTCGCACGATTTAGCGAGCGTACACCTTCGTCTAAACTATCACAACTGTTTAGTCTTGCTTTGATTCCTATGACCTATTATGAAGGCGCACACTACTCGATTTTTATTTGTCCAAAAAAACAGCTGAATTGGCTGCGAAATAATTGACAATCGCAAAACAGTTGTGCTATAGTTTATTCAAAGGTTTACGCACGTTCTTACTCGTATGTTCTAGAATGTTCTTTTTGTACAACTACAGTGGAATGGGTTGTACAGAACAATATTAAATAGTTATACAATGATCACAGTGTGCACCCTGATTGATTACATGAGACGTAATTAATAAGATTCTTAGAATAATGTCATTTCTTAATTGAAATCGATATTTTTGGTAAATCATATTTGTTAAGGCAGTTGTTTTCATCAATGTTAAATTATATTGATTTAATAGTGGATTTTTTTATGTAATTATGTTTTGTGGTTTTGAAAAAATCTATTTTAAATACTTTTAATATAAAATAAACGATATAGGTAATAATAAATAATTGGTTTACATCGTTTTCGAGAAAGAACGTACTCTCTACGAAATATACTGTCAAAATGTCTAACTTTGTATGTTATTTTAAACATAATGAAAAAAAAAATACAGTTTTGTTAAACGTTTATACATACTTTAATTAGAATATTAAGATAAAACTAAAAAAAAAATGTTATGTTAATAAAAAACAGTGTCAACAACCTTCAAATCCAAAATAACCGTGTCAATATTAAATAACTAGTTTTGATAATTT